TTACATTAGCCTTTTCATTTCCAAATGAAGTTACATTAACCTTTTCATTCCCAAATGGATTTACATTAACCTTTTCAGCAGCCAAAAACAGTATGTTCTCTTCCCATTCTCCCACTGTTCTCTAGCTTGCCGTGCACTCTTTACAAAAATCAGGATATTTTTAAAATGCTGCGGGACACAGGACAAACTGTTGAAAATCGGGACTGTCCCACCAAAAGTGGGACGTCTAGTCACCTTAGATTTCCCCCAAATCTAAGCTTCAAGACACCACATCCTTCTTTCAACTTAGCAAGATGGGTCAGGGGCATTAAGCTTGCTGTGTTAACTCTTTCTGTACAAATATATTGGCCAAAAATCAGACATGTGGTCACTGTTACCAAAATAACAGGCATAAGGTACTTTGGGAGCATGGATAGACTTAACCACAGGACAGTTTAACCTGAAGAGAATATTTAAATTTAGCCTAAAATCAACAAGCTTGTAAGAGTGAAGATAACAGCATAGCCCAGGCAAATCAAGGTAATAAAAAATTCAGGAAATGGCTGTACTTCTCAACTCTTCTAGTATATTATTTGTATAAGGGTAATAAGACTGTTACAAGGATTAAAAGAATATGAAGGAAATATTGCACATAAAGAAACAAGTGGTCTGCAAAAGAAATGGTTTATAAAGGTTATATATTATGGGGGGGCACAGTGGCTCATGTCTATAATCCTAGCACTCTGGGAGGCTGAGGCAGGCTGATTACCTGAGCTTAGGAGTTTGAGACAAGCCTGAAAAAGAATGAGATCCTGTTTCTACTAAAAATAGAAAAACTAGCCAGATGTCTATAGTCTCAGCTACTTGGGAGGCTAAGGCAAGAGGATCTCTTGAGCCCAGGAGTCTGAGGTTGCTTTGCTGTCAGCTATGATGATACCATGGCATTCTACCCAGGGCAACAGAGTGAGATTCTGTCTCAAAAAAAGAAAGTTTACATATTCTATGTATTTATTTTTATTATTTTTCTCTTTTAATAGATTCAAGGCTATTTTTTCTCATCTGTCCTGAATACTCTTCTTCCTCTTTTACCTAGGAAACATCTATTCTGGATCTATTGACAGTCCATGCTTCCTAACAGGACTTCTCCCTTTCCAGATCTCCAGCTAGACTTTATTTTATATGTTGCTATACTGGATACATTGGACTGCAGCTCTGAGTTTATGCATAAGTCTTCTTCAAAAAGACCAGAATAGAGAGGTTACAACTCTGCTATTTCCTTAAAGGACAAGTTAACATGAAACTTACGCCAACAGTTCAATTTTGCAAATGGGCTGAGCCAGTGCTTTGCAGAGAATCTCCATGGAGGCATTGTCAAAGCTGCAGTTTTCCAGGTCTAGCATCCAGATGTCCTTGCTGGCATGGAACACGGAGCAAAGTTCCCGCCAACACATGAGCTTCTCATTGTGGCTAAGAGAGAACAAAGGCTGTGATTCTCTAGGGGCTTAAATTCAAGATGTTCTCAAGACAGGCAAAACACCTAGGCCTGAACAGGAAGGTGGTCAGCCAGGTAAACTGAGTCAACAGAGCATAGTGGTTAAGAAAGTAGACCCAGGCAGGATGTGGTGTCTCATAGCTGTCATCCCAGCACTCTAGGAGGCTGAGGTGGGTAGATAGCTTGAGCTCAGGAGTTCAAGACCAGCTTGTACAAGAGGAAGACCCTGTCTCTACTAAAAATAGAAAAACCAGCTGGGTTTTGTGGTGGGCACCTGTAGTTCCAGCTACTTGGGAGGCTGATGCAGGAGGATATCTTGAGCCCAAGAGTTTGAGGTTGCTGTGAGCTATGATGATGCCACATTACTCTATCTGGGGCAGCAGAGTGAACCTCCATCTCAAAAATAAATGAAGGATGGAAGGAAGGAAACAAACTCAGGTAGCTCAGGTTTAAAAAAAAATGTTGGACCTTGAGGCAAGATCCAGTGTTGGTTGAACCACTTATTAGCTACGTGACGCTGGCCAAGCTATTCAACCTTACTCCGCCTCCATTTCTTTGAGGAGAGAATACTTGATTGTTGTGTGAACAAGGGTTGATATTTGGGACCTTTCAGTGAACATGGACCTGTATCTGAAGCATTGTCATGGAAGACAGCCTGTATCTGACAGCTGCTGTGCAAATTAGTAATATATAAACTTGATGGGGAGAATGAGGCCAAAAAGAGGGAAAAGGCACATGGGAAAAATGAAGAGGACATCAGGCACAAATTTCCAAGAGCCCTCTCCTGAGAGGGTCACTAGGAAATCCATATGTGGTATGGAGGAAAACAAAGCATGGTTGTGACAATAGTAAAAACTGCCTGCCTTGTAACCTCACATCGGCCCTGTGAAGTGGATACAACTTTTATCCCTCCTTACACAAAAGGAACAAGTTCAGCCACAGTCAGGCAGTGGACAAAGCTGTGCCAGGGCTCCCAGGGAAGTCTTTCTGCCTGCAACATCCATGCGTTTAAGCACAAAAGTGTCAGGACTCATCGAACACCCATTGGACACTAGCACAAACTACAACTTGGGGTGTGCGTTTGGGGTGTGCATGTGGGTGGGGCAGGGTATTTCAGACTCACCGTGAGCTGGGTCCAGAGACCTCTGGAAAGATGTGCTCTATACACAGGCGGAGTTTCTTCAAATTTCGACAATGCTGTACGCAGAATGAAGCTACTACCAACTTTTCCATGTTACCAATATAAACAATGATGTCTTCAAAGAGATCCATCACTTCTATTATAAATTCTTGGTCCTGGGTTTCAAATAAACTATTGAACAAGTCTTGGAAATCCACCGTCTCCTCCTCAGACCCCCGTTGACTTAAATCTTTCAGGCACTGGATTATCTCCCGCTTTATGTCTTTGGACAGGAGAAAACCAAGGGATGTTTCCAGCATGTTGATGATTTTTTTGGTTGAAATTCCAAAGACAAATATCCCCAGCTGGGTCAGGTGGGTCTGATTGTGAATCATACTTGCTGTTATAAGCTGGGTGACACTTCCAATGGCTGGGTTGGGATCATCTTTTGGATGTTGGAAAAAATAAAACAAAGCAGCACAAAACAGTTGGATATATAGGTGATGGAAGGTCAAGCGGTCACCATTCCTCTGGAGAAGCCTCATGGCCACCCACATGGAGATGTCAGATTCAGACATCCCACTCCTCCTGAGATCCCCAGGGCAAAAGACAAACGTGTGTGTCCACATGCCCTCCACGGCCAAAGTACACAGGCTTTTTAGTCGGACTCTACTCAGCTTGGGTGGATTATTCCCACTTCCTGCTTTGAATAAACTTGTTAAAAAGGACACATACAGAGCAGTGGTGCTTTGAGAGTCAACAGCAAGGGCTTCCCCCCTCTCTAGCTGCCCCTTTATGCAAGTGCCCACCAGCCAGCAAACCAGGGGGTTTTGGCATAATGTTAACAGTGGTTTAACCTCTTTCACAAAATTAAAGGCTTTCAAGGCTTTGCTCTTCTCAGGGATGAAGTGGAAGAAATACTGCTTCCTCTCATGCTGGGAGAATCCTGGCAGAATTATGGGCTTTGGGTGGTGCAGGAATACATAGTTCCCATGCATGGTCTCTATCCCTAATGCGATGAGCAGAGAGGTAGCCGGAAGCATCTTTTTCAGCAGCAAACTGCCCAGGATAATTTGTATTGGCCGTCGCTGTCGCCAGTCATCACATGAGTCGGCTGTGGGGTTCAAGTCAAATTTCATTTCCTCGAAGCCATCCAGGATGATCAGGACTCTCTCCGGTTGGGACAGTGCATCCTCCACAGTGTCTAGAGATCCTTCCCCACAGAGGAGCTCTGCTAAGCTTGTTTCTGCGGAATGGTTCATCTCGTAGACATTGAGGAAGAATACAAACCTGAATCTGTCCTTCCAGAAGTTTCCCTCTGCCCATTCCAATGTCACTTTTCTTAAAAGTGTTGTCTTCCCCATTCCCTCAGCACCATGCAAAACCACCGTGTGGGGCACTGTCCCCTCCGCTGTGAACACCTCCTGCAATACCCTGTACTCATCCCTTACGGTTTGTTTGTAGAAATGTTCAGGGACAGTAAGACAAGTTTCTTTTTCCCAGAGGAGATGGAATTTTTCCTTCATGAGCTTTCTGTATGGGTTTACCGTATCTGAGATAAAGAGAAGATAATATGAGACAGTTAAAATAGTATACTTCTTTCTTATTCCCCAGAACTGCTCCCGTGGGCTTACTCAGATGAGCCTGTACAGACTGGTGTGTACTTCTGACACCCAGGCTGAGCAGCTCAACCTTGTTAGGACCATAACCTATTTGATATCATGTTCATGGAAGCACGTGACCCAAACTGGAAAACCAGCTCAGGGTCGCAGGCTGTGGCAGAGTTCAGAAATCGTGCTTCTAATGGGGCTAGGATGGCATCTCTCCAACACAGAAGCCATTAGCACCCTTGTTAATGGGGAACCTGCCAGGAACCCAGGTTGAGAATGTTACTTTTGATTCTACACAGTTCATTCTGTTAAAATTCATTCTATTCCACTTTATAGAAAAGTGTTGACTTCATGTAACTTGACTGATTGAGACTGAAGAATCAATATTAGAGCCAGGTATCTATTGCATATATCTGTCTAAAGTGGAACCACACAGCCTAAGTAACTTCCATTACACCAGGCTGACTGTACTTAATCTCAGAAATGCTTCCCTGAACCAACATCCTTTCAACCTGCCTTTACTGCACACCTTTCATGCTCAAAGCAATGAATTGAGGGAGGTAAAAAAAAATACAAACATAAACAAGGACTATACCTTGCAAATTAAAGAAATGTGCACATGATAGGCGACCTAAGACAGAGCTACAGACAAAGATAGCACAGGACATACTGTATGTAGGAGGAACCCAAAGATTTCTCCAGGACAGATGGCCAAACTGCTCCAGTGAAGCACTCAGTAAGGACTCCCCATGTCAAAGGGCATTTCTATGGCCTTTAAGCAAGTTGAGGTTTTTGCCTTTTTTTTTTTTTTTTTGAGACAGAATAACATTCTTTTGCCCTGGGTAGAGTACCAAGGCATCGCAGCCCACAGCAACCTCAAACTCCTGGGCTCAAGAGATCTTTTGCCTTAGCCTCCTGAGTAGCTGGGACTATAGGAACCCCCTATCCACACCCACTTAGTTTATCTATTTTTAGTAGAGATGGGGTCTCAATCTTGCTCAGGCTGGTCTTAAACTGCTGAGCTCAAGCAATCTACCCACCTTGGCCTCTGAGAGTGCTGGGATTATAGGTGTGAGACAGTGTGCCCAGCCTAAACAAGTTGAGATTTGAGAAACTTCAGATGATCTTAAAGGAGCCGAGGTTCAATTTCCTAATTCCTTTAAAAGCCCATTTCTGGTTTATTCCACATGAATATTATTAGAGTTCTTTCTAAAAGGCAGATTTGCTGATGCCAAGGACAGCTTAGCTGCCACCAAGGACTCCAATTCCCACCTTCGTTTCCTTCTCACACAGAAGTGAAGGGTCCTCAAAAATGCTCCTCCTCATTGCTCTTGAGGAGGACAACTGTTACCCACAACACACCACACTGCTTCAAGCATCCTTGACTGTTCTCATGCCTTTCCCTTCTACCTGGGCACATTTCATTTCTGAGATAGGAAATTGTTTTCAAGCGCCACCTCCTTGCTACCAGGTATGGCCATGGGACTAAATTCTAGTCACTGGATTGTGAGTAGAAGTTAAATGTAAATTTTCAGCTCTTGCCACAAGAATTTCCTGGGCACAATCTGCCTGATGTTTCCCCCACCACCAGCTTCATGCAGATAACCAACAGCCTGGTCATGCAGTATTTTTAAAATCAATTGATACAGCTAAATTCTTTTTTTTTTTTTTTTTTTTTTTTTTTTTGAGACAGAGCCTCAAGCTGTCCCCCTGGGTAGAGTGCCGTGGCATTACAGCTCACAGCAACCTCCAACTCCTGGGCTCAAGCGAGTCTCCTGCCTCCGCCTCCCAAGTAGCTGGGACCACAGGCGCCCGCCACAACGCCCGGCTATTTTTTGGTTGCAGCCGTCATTGTTGTTTGGCGGGTCCGGGCTGGGGATTTGAACCCGCCACCTTAGGTGTACGTGGCTGGCGCCTTAGCCCGTTGAGCTATAGGCGCCGAGCCATATACAGCTAAATTCTTATAAGTTTCTAGCTTTTGGCCTGATAGAATGTGAGTGCAAATATCAGATTAAGAAAAATGCAATCCTGGTTCTTTAAAAAATCACTATCCTCAAAGAGACTATTATCAAGAGACACTAAAATCATCATTATTTTAACAGTGTTTGTGGACTGTCATCATGGAATAAATAAAGCCGCAAGACTTATTTCTATTCTGTTGTAGAAGGCAGGAAAAGCTGAGAATGAAAGAGGGAACAGGATTTGTCTTCCTCTGGGGAGATTTAGAAATGTCTGCCTGGAGACATCCTGAGGCAGTAAATCTATATTTCTCTCTGAAAGAAGGGGGGGCTTGTCCCCAGCTGCTACAGGGGGTCAGACTGTCTGACTGCCTGGGTTGCTCAGCCATGCTGCAAACCCACAGTGTGCCCCACACCCACAGTGTGCCCCTCATTGACCTGAGCTCACCTATATGGCACTCCAAGACTCAGGGAAGCTAATGTGATCATGGAGCTCATATTGCCTGTAGCTTTGTGAGTACTAAACTTTCTAAATTCATCTAGTGTTCAGTCCTTACAGAGTTAGTTTGTCACTTGCTACTTAGAAACTACCTTGCCAGCAAATACCCTTAAACACTAAGCTAGGGGTCTATAAACCAGGAGTCCTACCTCAGTATAACTGTACTCTGTGATATTTTAGGACTGTGACAACCCATCTGAGTGTCAATCTACTCACAAGAATGGAAGGTCTGCTCCCACAGGTGGAGGCATTTCACTGGACAATAGCAGGTAAATTGGGCTGAGCACCTGCAGCTCTTATTGCCTTAATTAAAGGTGAAATAAATTATGAATCTTGGCTAGGGCAGTGGCTCCCACCTATAATCCTAGCACTCTGGGAGGCTGAGGCAGATGGATTGTTTGAGCTCAGGATTTCAAGACCAACCTGAGTAAGAGAGAGACCCAGTTCTCTAGAAATTAGCTGGGCATTGTCGCAAGTGCCTGCAGCCCTGGCTACTTGGGATGCTGAGACAGGAGGATCACTTGCGCCCAAGAGTTTGAGGTTGCTATGAGCTAGGATGCTAAGCACTCTACCCAGAGTGACAGAGTGAGACTCTTATCTCAAAAAAAAAAAAAAAAAGTTCCCTATGCTACCCAGGACATGAGCTCTCCAGCATTTTCTCAATATAGTAGAATATCTGTAAGTTGACCACCCAGTGGACTGTAACCAACTGGTCAACACATGGAGGTGGTCAACAAAAGGAACAAAGCCAATTGTAGTGATATGTCCGTGGGGTGCATGTGTGGTCTCTGAAAATTAGGTCAACTTAAGGAGGTAGTCAGTGCACAGAGGTGGTCGGCTAGAGAGATTCCTCTATATTAGGGGTCTGCCTAATCCCTGGCACTGTATGGTCATCCTAGAACTCCATCCCAGTAGACTTGGTGATGCAGCCACTTGCCCCCAGGTTATCTCTTGCAATAGAAGTGACTCAGCTTGGGGCCTAAAAATGGGCAGACACTCCTGAAGGGAATAGTATATAGGAGGCCTATCCATCCCCGTCTCACTGGGCCAGTGGTGCCTGAGCTGACTCCTTAACTCTTCTGGCTATTTCTGAAGCTCCTATCACTCCCCGACACATTCTCTCCTGATGGGGGCTGTCATACATTTGGCAGTGACACACCTTCCTGACGAGAAGCTCTAGGTCACCCACCCCACTCCGAGGGTCCCTGTTCCTCCATCCTGCACTTACTCATCTCTTCTTGAGCCTTAGTCCAGAGATCTTTGCGTCCAACCTGCAGGAACAGGTTGAGTGTCACATCCCATGCCTGCTTTCCTGGGTAGTGCTTGTCCAGCAGCCTGGCCACCTCTTCTCTGGAAGCCTTCTTCAGTTCTGGCCAGGGGATTGGCTTCAGTTCAAACTTCAGAGGTTCTTGCCTGAGGAGGTCCTTGAATTTCCAGAACTCATCCTTTCTAAGCTCTTCCAGGTACCACAACAACCCAAAGTCAGAGAAGAAAGACTCGGCCATGGTGTCTTGGGACTGAGAGCCCAGGCTTCTCCAGGGGACAAAAAATCTTCAGAAACAAAGATCCAATACCTGCAGAAGGACAATACAACTACAGAGGTAAGTCTCAGCAGGTGTAGTGCTCCCAAATGACCGAAATCAGGCACTTCTGGCATCACCCACATCTGCCCAATTCCCTCCAAAAAGAAGCCTGGTCCTCCCCATACTGTCTACACTAATGCATGCCAATTTGGTACTAGCAACTAAAAACATAACTGACATGCCATCAGACATCAGGGTGATCCTATCTGCTGTGACCATACCAAAGCTTTGAGCTTCATCAGTGGAGTTGAAGTAAAAGCTGGGGCATTTCTGCTCGTGTGCCCTCTGCCACGTATGTGTCTATAGGGCACTTCCAAGCAGAGCCAAATGTGGATTCTGGGTGATTGTGAGGACTTCTTCATCCCTCAAAAGACAACAGTTTCTGTTCTCACTCAACTTAAGTGATGAATACTTATAAAGATCAAAAACTTAAAACCCTTTCTGATCCTATGTTGGAAAACGTCCAACACATCTGTTGTTCTTGTTACTGTGTTGGTTGTCCCACTCCACTGGAGAAAATGTGCAGACAGGCCTTCCTGCAGGCGGACTCTGATTGTTTAGCTTGTGAGCAATGGAAGGAACAGAAATTCAAGAAATGGCTGGGGACTGTGGCTCAGGCCTATGATCCTAGTTCTCTGGAAGGCTGAGATGGGTGGATAATCTGGGCTCAGGAGTTTGAGACCAGCCTGAGCATGAGTGAGATTCTGTCTCTGCTAAAAATAGAAAAAGTAGCTGAATGTGGTGGCAGGTGCCTGTAGTCCCAGCTACTTGGGAGGCTGAGGCAGGATGATTGCCTGAACCAGGAGTTTGAGGTTGCTGTGAGCTATGATGCCATGGCATTCTACCCAGGGTGACAGAATGAGACTGTCTCAAAAGCAAAAAAAGAAATTCAAGGAAGAGGGTAAGAACATCATTCAGATGTGGGGTGGATGTCCTCATGGAGGGTCCTTAACACCTCTCATGTTTACATCATGTAAACTTGAGGGTCTTGTAAGGATGGTCACGTTTACAGTGAATACAAGAATTATTAACTTATGGTTTTTAAGTAAGGCCTAAAATCTGTCTCTCCACCTGCTTTGTTTCTCTTGCCAGCCGCCTCGCCTTCCCCCACCCCCACCCCCAGATTTCAGTTTTCATAAACCATGGAAAAACCCAACAGACTAAAAGGAAATGTCAATTCTTTTTCTGTATGTTTCCCTGGCTCCTTTTGTCTTTCAGAATTTGTTCCTTTAAGCCTCAAATGGTTCCTGAGTGTCCTGGACAGATGAACATTGGAATATGAACAGTCAAGCCTCAGGATTGGCAACACCTGGGAAAAGGTCTGTCTGCATGCTTACTGGAGGAGAAACGTACATGGCATTCACACAACACCTTATGAATTCAGCGGCAATTACCTTCCTTTTCCCCTTAAATTCAGCTACCCGCTGAACCTCAGGGCTGCCATCCTTTCTTTGGGATGTCACCTTGGTCTTGCTCCTTTTCTCTCTCCCACCCCGTCTTCCCCTCTCTCCCTCCTCCCTGCTCTCTTCTCTAATATAAAATAAACTTATGTTTTTATATCCTAATCTTGGCCTAGAGAAATTCTTTTCTTATTCTGTGCTCAGTACCAACTGAGCCACTGAGCTTTTCCCACACCTGTCAGTACCCCCACAGCCACTGTGTACTGCAGCCATCTGAGGTTCCTGCCTGCCCTGTCACACTCCCCCCCACAGATTATACCACCTGGCTGACTCTCACTACTCTACCCTCCTGGGCAGACAAAACAAACGTCAGTGATGAAGTAATTCACATGGCATTTGTTGTAAAATCAAGACATCCTAGAACATCTGGGGAGGGGGGCAACAGATGAGTTCAAAGTCAGTCAGCCTAATCACAAGGTCTTACATTTAATTCTCTCCATTTGCCTTCCTCTTCCTTTGTAATCTTCAGTGCCAAAGATTTACTTTTTTCTATCCAGGTTATGTGAATCTCACTATCAGAACCAACAGACCCATCAAATCTGAAAAATGTACCTTTGACTTTTGATATTTTCACCGTTTTCCCCTAGTTCTCCAACACCCATGCCTCCAATTCTTTAGGTCTCCAACTCAATGTTAGATAAAAATATGGAACCTCTGTTCCACAGGAAGGGTCCTCTTCTCTCACCTAATCTATAGTTGGGCGGCACAGAGGTTTAAAAAGTACAAGGACTGGGCACACAGTCTCTCTGCAAATGTAAATGCTTTCCCCTACAGCACATCCCTGACAAAATAAGGCAGCAAATGCGGCCATAGCTGGGGCCTTGGTCTCTGTCCTTTATGTGTTCCAGAACTTCAGTAAACACCCAGAGTTTGGGAAACAAAGGAGAAATAAAGGCACAGGCTCTCACCTAATCTGGCCCTTCCTCCCCGCTGGTGCTCAACAAAGAACAGGTGTGTAAATAGCACATAAAAGGCCGTGCCCGAGCTCTGATTGGCCATAGACGGCCTCCCTTCCTATTGGTCTGCAAAGCCGTTGATGAGGAGACTGTGGGTGCTATGAACCTGTTCAGGCCTGTTTGTACCTCCTCAGGTGTGAATGATGCTCCTCCAGGCATTGCTGGGAGTTGCTGCCTGTGGGCTATCCCTGTGGCACTATTAGTAGCCTCTCCCTGCACTATATAACATCACCTGAGACTTCTGGGGACAATCTTCTATATGGCCCCTGCTAACAGGAACCACCTACTTGTAAGTGGAATAGCTGACTTCCCTGAACTTCAAGCTTCCCCAGATAGGTGTTTTATGCATCTTCTCATCTTTCATGGCAACACTTAAAAAGGAGCATGTGTACAGGATGGAACCAATGATTGTTCTTGAACAAGTAGCCTTAGCTATAAAGATAAGTTAGAATCTGCAGGTGTCTATTAACACCATATTGTGCTCATCATTGTATCCCCTGTGAACTCTGCCCCAGTGTTATCTCCATCATCTCTCATGTTAATTGAAGGATAGTGATACAAGGACCTTGCAGCTAAGGGCATTTCCTACAAGATCTGATTTATTTCCCCTTACCACCTTCTTTGAAGTAGATGGTGTTACTGTTCCCACTTCAAAGATGCTTGAGACCATGAGGGTGGAGGGTGGCATTGAGACCATGACTGCTAAGTCAGCCAAAATGTTTCCATTCCTCTGTGGTGCTCCCCAGTCATTGTGGATCCCCAGGGGGTTAGTGTTGGCTCACTGGGCAGATGTAACTTACTTTTGCCTAGTGAGACTGAGATCAGAGCCTCAAGGAATATTTTTCTTCCCAGGATCTTGATTTTTGTTTAACTCACCCCATCAGAATTCTGCTGTAAACTCCTCACCCTGTCACTATCCTCAGACAGGACATGTCCTCTCACTCTCTAGAGGACACAGGGCCTGCTGGCATGGAAGGCTGTATGCAACTCGGCACTGGGCGTGGAGTGCCTGGCTTTGCCCTACACCATCTATGTGGCCATGGGCAAGTGTTGTCCATCACTTAATTTCCCTCCTCCATGAAATGGAGATGGTTATAAAATAAAGATCATGAAGATATTAATGATGATGGGGATGTAGTGATGAAGATGATGGTGGTGGAAAAGGTGATGGGCCAGGCCTGAAGGTTCAGACCTGTAATCACAGCCCTCTGGAAGGCCAAGGAGGGAGGATAAATTTGGGTTTTCATATTATGCAAAAATGTATGTCATAACCTCTCTAGATCACCTAGAGAGGTTTAATTTGGAACTCATTTCTTCCATAATTAAATCAAAATATAATTGGATTAAGAGGGGCCTGGCATGATGAGGGAAGGATGAGGCCCTTTCTAGGAAATGTCTCTCCTCAGAGGGTCTCTCTGCAAACCCCATCACCGAGGAGACAGCTAGAAGCTGGAGGAGAAGCTGGCAGAAGAAAGGTAAATTTGATCTTATAAAATTGTTTTCTTATCAGAATCCTGCAAAGGGCAACATGAAAGTTTCATCTGGGGCATGAGGGATATAGCAATCTGTCACATGTTGTCCAAAGTATGTGTGCACAGCCCAGGCACTTTGGGACACAGGGCCTTCTGCCCAGGGAGCAGGAGACAGGACTTAAGTGTCCAAACCTAAGCTGGGAAGTGGCAGGGCCTTCATTTTCCTTAATCAAAGTTCAGTTTCAGGGTCTCTCCAATGTGGAAATGAATTGGCTTTTCAACCACTGACTTATTCACCCTCTCGGGGCCTCCACAGTCAGATGGAACCAGTCAGGGAGCCAAAGGGTCTCTGATTCCAGACCGGCACTGGATATAATGTGACTCACATGCATAATGACACTCTTTCTAGCAGCCATGGTAAAGAGAGCAAAAAGAAACACACCAAATCCATTCTAATCTCCAAAGAGTGTTATCGTAACATGTAACCAATATGAAATATTCATGAGGTGTTTTCAAATTATAACTTCACAACCTAGTGTTCTTTCTGAACTCACAGCACTTCTCAATTCAGAGAAACCCTGTTTCAGGGGAGTGACAGCCACATGTGGTTTGTGGCTTTCTGTGTGCACCTTGATGGCCAAGTGCCAGGGATAGCACAGGTAGGAACCTAGCATCTTCCAACTATAAGGTCAGAAGGCCCAGAAGCTTCACTGAGAGTCATATTTCTACCCAGGCAGCAGCTCACTTTCAGAGAAGTGAGCAGGTGTCCTGTGTGCCTGGCCTTTCTGGAGAGCCCCATGTTCCTGCCCTGTAGATATGTCTGCTGTGTTGGCTGCGTCAGCTCCCTGCAGACTAGCCCCTAGAGGGGTTAGTCAAAGCAGTGACTAAGAGGAACGAAATGAAGACAGATCCCCAGCTGGGGAAGCTGATCTCCACCTTCGAGGACCTGGAGCCTCACCTGAGATCTGCTTTGTAGATGAGCCTGAGGATACTCAGATTCCAAGATAAATGTCTGCCCCCTAGAGCCTTCCCAC